TAGAGGCAGAAAACAGATTAGTGGTTGTAGGGGTTTGTTGGCGAGGGGGAGGGGGGAACAGGGAGTAACCGCTCAATGGATGTAGGGTTTGCTTTTGGGTTGATGAAAATGATCTGCAACTAGATAGTGCTGATGGTTACACAATATTGTGAATGTACTAAATGCCACTGAATTATACACTTTAAAATGGCCAAAATGGTGAATTTTATGTTATGTGTATTTTACCACAATCATAAAAATAATACTTTGGAAAATAATGTAAAGTAGAGGAGAAAATTCCCTTGAGTGCTACTAACTAACCACAGTTAACATTGTTAATAAAGTACACCTAGCTTTGTTTTTAGGCACCTGTATTAGTTTCCTAGGACTGCCAGAACAAATGACCACAATGTTGGTGTCCCAAAATAGAAATTTATTTGCTTACAGTTCTGGAGGCCAAACATCTGGAATCCATGTGTCTGCAGGCTTGCTTCTTCTGGATATTCTAAGAGAGAATCTGTTCCATGCCTTTCTCCTTTCTTCTGGTGGTTGCCAGCAATCCTTGCCTTGTAAATGTACCACTTCAATCTCTGCATTTGTCTTCACATAGAGTAGGGCCCGCTCTAATCCAGTGTGACTTCATTTGAACTTAACTGATTACATCTGCAAAGACTATTTCAAATAAGATCACATCCTGAGATTCTGGATAAACTCAACTTTTGGGTGGAAACTATTCGACACCATTACAGTATTTTTTTATTTTTATGTGGTTGTTATTATGTTATATAAGTAAATTTTTTATACCTTTATTTTTCTGTTCCATAGATGGTATAAGTATCGTTTTAATAGTTCGGTATTTCATCAAGTGCCTAATTTACTTAACACTTTTTATATTGTTGGACATTTGGGGTGTTACTAATTGTTGCCCGATTGTGAATAACTGTTATTAATTTATAATAGATTTCTAGAGGTGGAATTACTATGATAAACTTCCAGTTTCAACAGACACTTAATCTGATATCTAGTTTTTTTTTATCCTTACCTTCTTGAGTACTGACTTGAATGTAGATTGATAGATAGTATTATTTCCCCTTTATCTCTTACAAACTCTTAGAATGAAATATTGTTCATTCTATGAATGAACATAGCTCTTACAAAATAACAGAGCTTTTACATGATACTTTAAATTAGACCTGTGTAGTGTCTGACCTAGATCCTTTGCATGAATGTTAGTCCAGACTTTCACATATCACTATCTTTTATTTCTAATTTAAATAGATCAGCATTATGAGAGATGATTTATAATAAATGTTACTTTATTTTATATATTGGCAATGGAGATACTTGAATTACATTAAAAATACATGCGTACCTATGAGTATCTTTTCTTTTTCACTATTTTAGCATGGATGTGTTTCAAAGATTGGGCTCAAATTCAGCTCTGACTACATCAAAAATAGCTTCATTTGAAGAAGCATTTGTTTACCTTCAAAAGTTAATGGCAGCTGTGAAGGATATTCTTGAAGGAATTCAGAGGTAAATACTCTTAATTTTAAAGTTTCA